AGTCTCTGACAAAGACCTTCATTCACTATCAATCCTCCTGAGAGCCTGCGTGACATAACATGAACCCGTGGCACCTGTGGCCTTCAGAGTGACTATTGACAAAGAGATCAATCATTGATTACAGGGAAAAATTAAAATGTAGCGGTAACTTTTAGACTTATCTCTCCTTGACTTCTCATATACTGTGAGAGTTAAATGGAGAAGAGTTCTCGATTTTAAGCAAGTTCACAAAAGGAGAAATTTTCAAATATTACACTGCTTAATTTATTCAGCCATTTACAAACTTCAAAAAGAGTGCAACGTTACATAAAAGTATCATCAACTTGTACATTCTTTTCTAGATCGCCTAAAGGTTTGTGCGAGGAACGCTGTGCATCATAACATCAGATCATTACATGTATGACAGTATGCAAACTCATCATGATATTTCCCCAACCGTTTATTACCACAATAGGGACAGACTCACACCACAGCCAAGCAGCAAACAAAATGCATTTTTTTTGGAACACAAAAAAGGAAAAAAAAAAGACAATTTTAACAGTTTTTGTCTATACAATCGACAGTACAAGGTCAGCAAGGTTCAAAATAGACTAGACTTCATGTGACTTTAAAAAAAAAACGCATTAAGACAGTTTTCTTTTGTGTTCCACTGAAGAAAGAAAGTCATACAGGTTTGGAACGACTTGAGGGTGAGTAAAAGGAATGATGGAATTTTTATTTTTGGGAACTGTCGCATACCATTAAGTAAACCTGTTTGTCATGAGCCGAGTGTGGAAAGGCCCTAACCTAACCCATCTCCAGCTCACGGCAGGCCTCAGTGAATCCTCCACCAGCCCTATAAAGACACTACAGATCGATGATACAAAGGTTAATGACTTTATAGCTCACTTTAGTAACTCATAATCTTGTCCTTGGTTTGCTCAACTCTTGAAGGACTGGGGTAGGGTTGGTGAAACATGAACTGATGATTGAAAACAATAATTATCCTTAAACATAACCTGGGTTGTCAACAAGCTTTATTTAAAACCTACATCATGTGGTATACTGGCATATTGGTTCAAGCAAAAGCAATAAAGGAGCATTTTTTTAATAGTATGATGCAGCATTGGTTGCATGAATGTGAAGATGAGCAGAGCTGGCAAAGGAACCATAAATATATTTACAGGCCCGAGGCTTTGGATCCAAGATGTGCACTTGCAAAACTCAACAGTCAATAATTAACCAATAGAGATTTGAAAACTGCCAACCAACAGCAAAATACACAGCCAGGTAGCAAGAGCAGTGAGGTGAGGACTGATATGATTGGTATAACTGCTCGTGTCATCTCAAAATGCAACAGACCACAGCAGGAAAAACAGCGATCTTGTAACCAAGGAAGTGGTTAATTCAAATGTGTGAGCATCCCTCCCTCTCTCGCAGAGTTACGCATTCCGCTTGAGAGTTTACTTTTGAAATTTTTAGTGGTGAACATCTAGAGAACGTGTGGCTACCAAACACACCATAAGATGTTGTATTGTGTCTGCTGAAATGTATTGTTGTCAAAGATTAAATCATTTTTTTACGGAATAAAATGTAAACTTGTGCTTTGCCCATAAAAAGTCTCTTTCAATGATACTAGACTAGAGTGTTAGAAGTGGTTTCCAAGGTAATTCTATGCGGTTACTAAGGTATTCAGTAGGTTTTTGGTGTGTTGCTAAGCCACTGCTAGGGTGTTGTGATGGTGCTCTAGGTAATTGCTAAGTGGTTGCTAACCAGCCCAAGTTAAAAAAAAAAAAAAAAATCCCACGATATTCCGGCATATGGTCCCTCAGTGATAGCACAAATAGAAAATTACACATTTAGAATTACAATTTTCAATAATAATTTTAATACATCTTCAAAATCCCTAACTCTAAATAGAAAAAAAGTGAGAAAATTAGCTGGGAGAATATCATGGTTAAAATACATATGACATAGCAAGTACTCTACAATGATTACGACCACTTTCACCAGTCTATAACTGTAACTGTATTAGTAAAACAATGGCATTTTTAACATTGGCGAAGTTTCATCTTTTCATCGTCCACTTAAAATGAAGCTAATCTAAATAAGAAATAAAACACTGAATGAACAGCATAGTTCCTTTACTGCAAACACACAGAATGACAAGCACACAATGTAGTGATTGATATATCATCACATGCCACTTATTATAAATAGAATCAAAGCAAACCATTGAGGACTGTTCCAAAGAAACACACCCTTTCTTTCCTCCCAACACACCTGCATTTCTGACGAAGTATGCCAAGGAACCGCTATCAAAGAATGATTCAGATGTTTGCAATGTCAGGAAATATTCCAGACTCAAGACATTGATCTAATTTTTATAAATCATCTGTTCTGCCTCTTTTCCATCATTTATTGCCAAACACAATGCGAGCAAGCTGTCTGAGTGTAATCCGCTCTGAAAACTCATCTCAGTAAGTAAACAGCATCCCGCAGGGCACTGCCATCAAGAACAAAGCTTAGTCTGGGTTTAACTGACAGCCGATCCAAGGATGTTCCCTCCAGCGGCATTTCATTTCTGAATGATCACAGAGAGGAAGGATGGGACGCAGGAGGGTGAGAGGAAAACGACACAACAGAAGGGCCATTCATGGTTGACTGAGGGCTTCAAAAACACTTTGATAATTGCTGGAAAGAAATGTGAGTACAATCCATATTGTTCCAGGGACTCGAAAAAATAACTGTTATTGAGCAAAGGCCTTCTCTGGTTATGATGATTAAAGTTATTTCTAGCTCATGCCACATAATCAGAAAAGGGACTGAAAAAACACTGGCCTGTATGCCATTATGTAAAAGAATAACTAGCATCAAAAGTGCACACTTGACATTTGCTTTTGCTGTGCTGGCACTTTCAGAAAATGATTTGCCTTCTATAGTAACCTGTAACTAGATTTTCTGAAGAAAATATAAGTGGGGATTGCCTGTGCAAAAACTACACAATTCGGGGTGTATGTGTCAGCCCCAAATGTCTCTAAATAATCCATATTATTTGATCAAACATTCATGTAATAGATTAGGTTTGATCTTCTGTAACTTCTCCAAGCCTGATGGCACATCAGAATCTTTTACATAGGATAAAAGATCTCAATCCTACTCTGTGGGCTTCTTTCTCTCTAATCTTGCTTCTGCACCCAAACAAAGAGTAACTTTCAACAATAACCCCCCTTCAGTGCTCAAGGATCTCCAAGGCAAGGGATTGAAACTTTATTGGGGTCAGCTTAGTCTGCTGGCTTTTGTCCTCAACTCGAATAATTACAACTCTAGAAAACCATTAAGTAGCCTGATGTTGAATCCAATGACTTTGACTGAATGAAAATTAAATGAATGTGGATAATAGGACATCCTCTTAAAGGGATCTGTCATCATTTTCTCATCCTCATGTTGTTCCAAAATGTAAAAGAATACCTATATATTTTTTATATTCTGCACATGAAAGTCAAACAGGTTTAGAATGACATGAGGGTTAGTAAATGGTGACAGAATCGTAACTTTTGGGTGGAGTATCCCGTTAATCACAGGATAAAATATTTGTCCCATGAAAGAGAATGTTGCCCACTGAAAGGCCTTCAGATTAACATCACAGGATTGAAGACAGAGCTTTTTAGATTCTTATTACAAAATTGGTGCAAATCACTTGCAGACCTTGTACGGCGTTACATAAAAATGTTGTATCACTTGAAAACCATGCAAATGACCTATACACTCTACATGGTTATGTAATCTTAAAACTTCAACAGTGGTAAATGATCAAAGAGCCCATGCAGTTATGACACTCGATATGATGTTTATCTGATCTATGAGGAGAATTTGTCCACTTCTTCCTTATAGACAAAGCTTTTATCAGCAACCTATTATCAGTTATCATTTACTGGCAATTAACAATACCGTCTAATAAGTAAAAGTGTATTGGTCATTTACTATGCATGAACAGCATTAAGTAATCAGGCCTGGAATTTGGTTAATGCATCTGATGACAGGCATCGTCCCCAAAAAGGAGGAAAACATGACTGTCCTCATGTCTGACAGGTCAGACTGGAAGCAATGTGCAAACCAGTGATACCTGTGACGTGACACAAAGAATATCTGATTTGAAACATGTAAATGTCCTCAAACATTTCAGAAGGGCCGGACCTGTTCATTTCCCCACCAAACACTGTGTTGTTATGGGCACATATCCACAACAAGTGGCCTGGTCATCAAACAATGTGCAATGAAACATAGGAAAATGTAAAAATGAGCTTTTCTGTGGACAGCATGTCCTCTTATGCTCTGCTGGTAATATAATATTAGTAGGCTATAATATTAGTACAATAATCAATGATTTTTGTCTGGATCTATTAAGGTATTCAAAATGTACACTATAAAAATGCAATTCCTACAAAAATGACTTCTTCTATGATGAGCATGTTTTAAATTTTTGAATTAGAAGTCACCTTGATTTTGTGGGGCTTAAAGTCAAACTTTCCAGCCAGAGATTAAAAAAACAAAAAAAAAAGTCTAATAAAAAGGATGAAACTCCTGAAAATGATTAATTTCTGTGAACTCAAGTGTATTTAAAGCCCAATTCAAGTATTTTAGTTTAATGGTTACACCACTTGACATTTTGAGTAACTAAATCGGGATACATGTGGAAAAGATTTAGGCCTACAAACATTTTGTTTTCAAAAATGTATGAAACATACATGAATGCATACATACAAATAATTTATAAAAACAAGTATTTTAAACTGGTTTTTTAAAAGAGATATCTCATTTTTAATGATCTCGAACATCCTTATTTGACATTAACCTACATATGGGCCTACACATATTTACTATGTATATTATGAATTATATTGTACAACGACACCTGTCAAACTTGACGCACGTGGAGAAGACTCAACTTGTACGCAGCTTAAAATCCAAAATAACTTTTTAAGTGATGGAAATTTGCTCATAAAAGCTGTTGAACTCACCTTGGAGCTCACGCTCAGTCTATCCATGCGTATGTCCCCATTTGTCTCCGGGACGGGGGTGGACTCCCTTGGTGTCCCGTTCTTCATCTCCTCTTCATGGCCCGATTCAGCACTGCTCGGTATCGGTATCCCATCAGTCAGATACTCTTTCTGGCACTTCATGTTGTGCTTCTGCAGCAGATTTGCGGTCTCTGCGTCCACAACGATGAGCTCTAGTTTGCCCGTGATGCCTCGTATGCGGGACACCACCTGTTGATGCTTCTCGTCCTCCACATTCTCCCCGTTCACGAACGCCAGTTTGTCCCCGGCCATCAGACCCGCCTCGGCGGCAGGAGAGTCGGCTTCCACATGCCGGATGAACTGACCTAGCTTGTTCTTTTCGCCGTGGAGATGAAAACCGTAGCCGTCGTCCCCTTTTTCTAAGACGCACAGCTTTGGCCTGAGGTCGCTGGACATTTTGAAACTTTAAGACTTACACAAAAGCAGCAGTCCAGCTAAACTGAAAGATGGAGGCGACAACGAAAAGTAGTTATGTGAAGAGAAAAGTCCGCGCCGCCCACTCAGCGTCTTCACCGTGCTGCAACACTGTAAGTCAAATCGCAGTTTTCTTTGAAGTGGAGACAGTCAGCGCTTCACGGACCCGCCTCCGTCTGTTACTCTCACTGATTGGAACTTTCACTTGTCAATCAAAAGAACGTCACGCGAGTTGTCTCTGGCACAGTTTCATACGGGCTATGGGTTGCAGTCTTTGGATCCTGTTGACGCTGCTGTTGGTCGAGTTTGCATTCTTCTTTCTCTGTTAAACACAATAATCGACAGGTTCGGACTCTTTTTCAAAGGGATGTTGTCTCCAGACCTCCTGTTATAGCTTTCTGGAATAGCTGTGTTGATGTTTGATAGGCCTATGGCATAAAATTTGGAAATTACCTCTAATATTTAATAAAAATAAATAAAAAAGTAAAAGAAATTTAATTCAAACTCATTTATAAATATTACCCCAGTAACTACTTCCTTGTAAACAAATTTAACTTTGATATTGACATGCTTTGTACATTTTTGTGGTCTACATAGGCTACAGAAACTTTTTTTTTTTCATTTGTTTTGGAGTTGTCCTTATTCAAACAGTTTTTGGTTAGATTTCTGCTCGTTTGTTAGAGATCTTATGTCCATCTTTCAACTTCATTTGGGTATGGGTAATAGAAGCAAAAAGAAGATTAAAAAAATGTATTTCTTTTTTATTTCATGTAGAAATGTTAAATTATTTTTTTACATATAATATAGATAAGTGAAGTACCTTTTAATTTTTATAATTGTAATTTAGTTTTATCTTTTAAAACCAGTTGAACCTTTTAATATTTTTATGCTAGGCCTATTTATTAAGCCTGAATTTTACAGTTTGTACATTAAATATGGACACATTATTATAAACAAAATCATTCTGTTCTAGAAGTCCTAAACTGTTTCTCTATAATATCCATAATAGTTCTGTGATCAATTCAGGATTGCATCAGGACATAGTTGGAATTCCATGGCATGCTTCTGCATTCCAAGGTTGAATAAAATGGTAACATTTTGCCGTATCATTTCCTAACACACCTCTTTTATGTGTAGACTAACAGTCATTCATATCATTAACCAACACTAAAAGCTTTACCTTAAAGTAATTACTACTCACACTATAATCAAATTTTGTTACTGTGGCAGCCTTTTGCTTTCTTCCATGCAATAAAAAAAAGATAAAGATTTGCTGATTCACTTGCAGAGATTATCTGCCTGTCGACATACCTGAGCAGAGTTATGAGAATCACACCCTAAATATTGTTAGTGTTTAATCACAAATGGGATTCACTCTTTCAAGTGTCAAACTCTAATACACTAAAAGTGCAAAGAACATCTCTGTAGCATGGTGTGATCATTTGCTTTTTCAATTCTTGTGTGAACAGCAAGAGACTCAGTAATAAAATCAAACCTCCTGTGTTTGGCTTCTCGTGTGTCTGAATTCACCACACTGGTTAATGGCTCAAGATTGGTCAAGCAAGGAAGGACATGCATGTTTGTGCAATAAGGCAAGATTGCTTCATTTAAGAAATTAGATTTACCCTTAATGTTACAAATTCTTCTTCAATCATAAACCACATTTTAAGGCATTTCTCAATTCATTTTAGTAACATTTTGTTACTTTATCTCTATCTATCTATCTGTGTGTGTGTGTGTGTGTATCACTATTCTGATATTATTATTATCTACTTATTTTTAATATTGTTTATTTTTTTTACTCTTAATAGTTTCAAGTTCAGTCTTCTTTTACATCTGTTGTTGCTGCTCTTTTTCTTCTAATTGTTTATTACTCCGGGATACTATATTTTGGTTCTATCATTTAAAAAAAATGTTTATGTATTTTATCAAATGAAATCTACATTAGCATCATACTAGTCCTCATATAAATATATCAAGAAGTAAATCAGCTTACCACTCAGACCGCATCTTTTATCACAATTAAGGGTGGTGCTGAAATTTATGACACAGAAACATGTGACAGAGCAGCCAGTTGCAACATAAGCTCACACAGTTGTAAAGGCTCACAAACAGGTTATGGCAGCAAATGATCCATACTGGGCACACTGTGAGGGATTTGAGGCCCCAACTGCTAGCCATCAATCCATATGTAGTGGTGTATTCTGCCATCTAGTGTCTCATTAGAAAACTGCAACAAAAAGCAAACCAATAATCTGACCACTCAATACAGAAAAGTTGGTGTTCATGTCAATACAAGGCATTTACAAACACACAATTGGTTCCAAAAGGTCTGTTAAAATTACTCCATGGACTATATATATATATAT